GACCTGCCCACTGGGGGAGTGGAGGGTTTTTTTTGGGGGGGGGTCCTTCGGCAGGTATTTGCTCTGCTGGGCTTGATTTAGAAGCCAGTGGGGTCCGCACACTGGCGTGGGGGATTCTGGGAACGGGAGTCCCCCCGAAAGGTAACTTCTTCAAGTTGCTCATCAGGGCTAGCAAGCTTCTCACAGGCCTCTCCTCTACGATCCTTTGGCAGGAAGCAGCTGACGGGAGGTTCAGCCTTGTGGGTGTCTCCTTTAAAGTTCACACGAAAAACCGGGAGCACCCCTTTAGCCCAGGATATCAGTGTCCCCCACACCCACTACCTCAGTGGGGGAGAAAGCAACAGCTCCTTCCAAGGGACAACAGCAATTTAAAGCATACAGTGGTGCCTCGCTTAACGAGCACACCGTTTAACAATGAATCCGCATAGTGACGCATTTTAGATAGGCTAAACATCGCATTGCGATGATTGGTAAGCTTTTCGCTTACCGATCTTCGCATTGCGATGTATAGAAAACAGCTGATCGGCGGTTCCAAAATGGCCGCCGGATCAGCAAAATGGCCGCCCGCAGTGTTTTCATGCCCTGCCCTTGCTTACCGGGCAGCGAAAATGGCGGCCGGATGGGGGAATCTTCGCTTACTGATGAGTTTTTCCCCCCTGCATAGCGACGTTAATCCTGGAACGGATTAATGTCGCTATGCGGGGCACCACTGTACTTTTAAGTTTAAGACCCCAGTGTGGTTAGGGTGCTGGACCAGGACTTAGGAGAACTGGGTTCAAATCCTCCTACTCCACCATGAAACTCAATGGGGTGACTTCAGGACCTCAGCCTCGCCTACCTCACAGGGATGCTGTCGTGAGGATGAAAAAAAAACTTACCTAGGATAAGGGCATCATTTGAAGACATGTGTGGGGACTCCACAGGAGAGCGTTGGACAGTCTCTGTTCGCGGGGTGGCCTCCGAGTGCCCCGCACGGCTTCTCTGCGAGGATTCTGCCTTTGACACGCCGACCCTGGAGTGCGGGCTAGTAAGTGCTGGGGCTTCTTTTCAAAGTAAGGGGTCAGAGAGGAGAGAAGCGGAGTTACACGCTAAATAATGTAGACTACAACTAAAAGTTTTTCTAAATAAAAAATGATGTCACTTAATTCATGACATATATATATAAAGGAGGCAAGAAAATAAGGGGTGGGCGGGGAATCTAGATCTTAAAGAGGAAGGCTTGTACATAGAAACATCACAATTTCAATTTCCCCTCCTTTAACTCCTTAAAATAATAAGCATTATTTTAGGAAAGATGTGGGCATCTCCGATTTCATAGGGTTCATTCTCTCAGCCGTGTTTTAACGGCACCCTGGCCAGAAGGTGGCGGCTGATGTTGCTAAAATTTAAACTACGGAAGACCAATTTCGTTTCTTGATCTTTAAACGGTAAGAAATTGAATTCATTGCTCATTCATTGACCCATCCCTTAAAATAAACATCAGAATTTCTCGCAGAATGATTGACAGTGGCGAAGCAAGTTAATAGGGTAGAACAATCTTGTTTGGAGTTTTAATGGTTTAGAAGGACGAATTTTAAGCTGGTTGCCGGAAAATGGCGTGAATTAGGGCGGTGTGTTGTTGTTTTTTATATATAAATAATTTCCACACTGGCAGAAGCTGGCCGCCGCATAAATGGCACCACCATCCTTAAAATGAAGCCAGTGGGTTTTTACTAACACGTCCCTTTTGAGCAGGAAGGGAGAAATTTACAATCCAAGGGCGTCCGTACCATCCTGAGCGAGGCGTAGATGAGCGTCGTTCTGGTGCGCGATGGCGCCTGCCACTAAGTCAATTTCTTCGTCTAAGTTGGGAACAGTGGATCGCCCTGAAAAAGACACCAGAGGTTATGCATACCTTATCTTAGAAACCTATCTACTCTTTCCTCTCGCCTTCAGCTCCAACACAACCTGATCCATCATGAGCATCATTGTGATTTTCTCTGGAAACATCCCAGCCGCCTAAACATTTCTGGAAGTTAATATTTCACGACCCTGCCGGCTTTCCCTGTGTTTTATTGTTCGGGACATGAAAAATGTCTTTAATAATGCAGCGCCAGAAAGGGTGCAATGAATACAAACCGGATTTATAATCTCCCCCCCCCCTCTCTCAATCTTTCTCTCTTTTTACATCATGAAACAGCACTTCTGTTTCCCAGCAGAGAAATGCCAAAAATCGATCCAGATCGTAGGGACAGAAAACGTTTAAGACTTTTTAAAAGCCAGGAGCTGGCTTTGCAGTTTGCAAAATCTAAGTCTGGGAAAATGTCACTGGGGTGCTGGGGATCTGGTCAAGAGACTACTGTGCGTGAACAGCGTGGCATTTGTGGTGTTAAAGAGGAAAAAAAAAGACACACCATTCCTAGCAGATAATCTTTTGGTGACTGTAATGCGACCCCAAGACCAGTCCCTCTGCAGCCACAACTGTTATATAACCTTCCCATCTGCCACTCAAGAGCCCTCGCTCTGTGCAAAGCGAAGTTGCAGGCAAGCAGAACATCTCGCCTTGCAAAACGGGTGCGGACAGAAAACCGGTGCACCCACCACATTCATTCTCTCTCGCCCTAATCAGAAGTCAGGATGTAAAATTCCCCCAAAATTTCCATATTTTTTTTTCAGAGGGAGAGGGAAAAATCCTTTTCTGGAAAAAAAGGAAATTGCTGGAAATGTTACGTCTCTAGAGAGAACTTAAATACATAAAGTCTCAGAAGTCTTTCATTAAGGTCATGTTATATACAGTGGTGCCTCGCTTGATGAGGATAATTCGTTCCGTTGAAATCGCTGTTAAGCGAAATCCTCGTCAAGCGAAACAAAAAAGCCCACTGAAATGCATTGAAACCGGTTCAATGCGTTCCAATGGGCTAAATGCCTCAGCAAAGATCCTCCATAGGGTGGCCATTTTCGGTGCCTGTAAAGCGAGGAATCCGTCCTGAAAACACAGCGGGGAGCCATTTTGCACAGCGGGCGGCCATTTTACAGCCGCCGATCAGCTGTTTCAAAATCGTCGTTTAGCGAAAAATCGGTTCCCGAAGCAGGGAACCAATCATTGTTAAGCGATTTTTTACCATTAAAACATCATTTTGCAATTGCAAAAACTTCGTCAAGCGGTTTCGTCATTTAATGAGGTAATCGTTAAGCGAGGCACCACTGTAGTTTGAATACCATGTCACATACATATTATTTATCATTGTAAAAGAACCTATTCCACAATGGGTTTTTTTCCACTTTTTTCGGGGAGGGGGGAACAGTTTTGGAAAATAATTGGGGGGGATCTGGTCCCCCCCCAATTTTTCCATGGCTTTTCCCTCCAGGCTTTCCTATCTCTAATCAGAAGTAACCGGGGGTCCCCTCCTCATTTTTGGATGGGGGGGACACAGACCTCATTCTCATCTTTTTTTATAAAAAAAAATCAAAGCAAGGCTCCTGGAGTTGGGGGGAGCAGGCACTCTGGTTTAAAAGAGAGACCCTGATTCTCCAGGTATTATGAAAAGAGATTTGGATGTGGGAGAAGAGAGGTGTTGAAAAAAAAATGCCATAGATACACGAGGGACCAAATGGGTGGAAGGCATCAACGCACGTACCGCCAGGGGTCTGCTTCCGGAAGATGCAGTTGCCTTGCTCATCTTCCACAAACGCAGAGAGGCAAGGGCCGCAGGAGTGAGAGCCTGGGGGGCAAAATTCCCGCCTCTGAAGGGTGCAGTCCAAGCTCCGGGGACATGAATCTGTTCCGAGCAAACACAAAAAAAGGGAAAAAAAACATCAGGATGTTTTGCAAGACTGCAGAGTTGCAAAAACCCACATCTCCATCGACTCCGATACCCATTCTCCACAGCAGCCAACGGGCTCCTCTCAGAAGCCCACCAGGAGAACATAAAGGGGCTTCCTCCAACCTCTCCTGTACCCCCCCCTCAGCAGTTCCCTCTTTTTTAAAGCCACCTCCCCTCATCCAGTGGCAGGGAGTTCCACAAGTACATGTGCCTCCTCTGCCCAAGTCCTTTTTCCCAGTTACTCCTTTATTTTCTGCCCAACAATCCCATGCTCAGCTTCCATAGGGGCAGGACTCTGCCCACTTTTTCTGCACCAGGCATAGTTTTATAAAAATCCGTATCATCAGATACTCAACGTTCAGTGGCCCTCCTACGCTTCATGGTCTTTCCATGGTCTGAGTCACTCCATGCAGCGTTCTCCTGGAGAGTGCAGGCCCAGAAGATCAGATCATCTTCCAGTTACCAGGGCTACAACCTATATTTCCACCGCCAAGTACCATAGGGGTCATCTCCATCCCAGCTGTCACTTAACGACGTCCTGCAACTTTGCCTGTTGGACGTCAACCCGACGCTGCACCAGCAACACACAGACAGCAGAAGGCGCAATTCAAAGATCGCCTAAAGCTGTCTTTCCTCTGATTCTTTCCAGGAAGTGTTTGCTAAATGCCGGTCACCCCCACCTGGAAAACAAACAAGCGGGACACGAGCCACCCATATCATTATCCTGCCCTGCGTGCCACAGGCCGTGGGACGGGGGAAAGAAACAGGCCTGTTGGGGGCTGATGATTGATCAGAAAGCATTTAAGAAGAACATTGCGAAGACTTAAAAGAGGAGGATAACGATCAAAGGTTACGGCGCAGCTGGCTCCAAACTTTGATAACTTCCAGACCGTAAAAAATTAGCAAAGGTGGTTCTTTAAAAAGGCTGGCTAGAAAGCTGTTTTGGTTTTTTCCCCCCGATATAATGGGAAAATACATGTAGAAAAGCTAGGAAAGCGCCTAACGATGATATCACGGAGGCAAGAGCCTTTTGGGGTTGTCCTGAATCTGGATTGGCCCCAGGTGGCTCTTTACTCCTGATCTAAAGAGCGCCACTTTAGATTAGAGACACCTTAAAGCAAAGATCAGGTCTCTGAAGGCGCTACGAAACAAGAGCAGCAGGAAAATATTTGTTGTGATTCCTAGCCTCCACATTCATCCGACTCGGCTGTTAATCTGTCCACGGTTTGGTTCTGCCAAGACCTCCCCTTACATCTTGTCCAGAGATAACTGGGAAAGGGAGGGGGGACTCCATTGCAGAGGGAGTTAATTAGTTTTGCAAATAACATTAAAACGGCTCATGGAAACGCCTGGCGCGCATCCGAGAGAACATTGGTGCTCAGAGATGAAACAGGAAAAAGAGAAAAATCGGAGGAAGGTCAAGATTTCCCCGGCTGGTGTGGAAATGATTCAGAGTCCACCACCTCCACCGGGACACAGAGAAATGAGCCTGATGTGTACGCACACTTTTTGTGCTTTGAAATCAGCAGCCTTTTAACGTTGCCAGATGTATTTTGTTAATGTTGTGACTTAGTTTTTTACAGTTGTGTGGTTACTTTTTGGTTGAACTTCTTTTTAATAATTTGTCAGCCTTCTTAGGTTACTCCACCCCACTCAGGGGGAGGGGAAAGGCGACAGAGAAGCCAACCGATTTTTTTTAAATCTGCAAAATAACCTCAAGAAGGAAGCTGCAACCAAGCAGATTTTGGACAGGAGCTAGCAAAATCATCCTCTAAAGAGAGATAATTCAAACTGGTCATGCTCATGAAGCTGGGAAGAGGTGGGTGTTCAATGGTTACAGCATAACTTTCTACAATGACGGACTCGACTTCATTTCTCAGAGCCTTGAGTTCAGAAGAGTTGGGTTTCCCTTGGCAAGTGTGACAATGCCCCGCTAATTTGGATTTATGAGCCAGTAGAGAGCTTTATCAGCCTAATTAAGATTCTGATTAAGGTTTGCTTGGCCTCGGCACCCACCACAAGGTACGGCTACTTGTTGAGCCCTTAAACTCACTTCCATACGCCTGGGAATTAAAGTCTCCCGGCGGGAAGGGAGCCGAGAACGGATTTACTAGCATCCCCGAGATTTCGTAAACAGGAACATTTTTACGTCCTAATTAGAGGAATTAAGAGCCCTTACTGGCAAACAGGTTTCTCCCCCACATTTAGTCACACTACCCATTCATTGAGGAAGAGCTGGGGATGGGAAGCAGCAAAGGCTCTGAAGCTATGCAGGTCTGGATCCGGCCCATTTGAGGATAGGGAATTGTCAGCTGGCAGTCCTGCTGCTTTGAGGGCCACAAAACAGCACAAGAGAAAGAAGATACGACAGGCTAATGTAATTATGTAGACCACCGAAGATCTGGGTTCTCGGCCTGGCCTACCTCAAAGGGCTGTTGTAATGAGGCAGGAAGAGAGCATCAGTTCTTTCACATTTTCAGATTCAGCCGAAGACCCACCCAGAGGCTCAGCCAAAATGCATTGTTACGAAGTTTGCTGTGATGATACTGAAAAGTCACTTTGCCCTGTCATAACCCAATGGTTTTATTGGGAGAAACTGAAGAAGACACACGATCGCGAAGTCCATCCAAACGGTCCCTCGCACTGACACTGACTGACTCCGACTCTCCCTTCCCGCAGCTTCTGATCGTCGGCGCATGAGCAAGAAACGTCATGCGCCGCCTCTCAGCCACTCCGCGTCGTTCACTTGCACATTCTCGCCGTGTGCAGAAACAGGAAAGTGATATCTGCTGTCAAACGGTTATTTTCATAACCGATTTTTACTTGGGTTCGTTTTTCATGGAGGCGGGAGGTTAGAAAAGCATGGGAAGTCAAGATTTTGCTCTGCGCTTCCTGTTCTTGCTCGCCGGCTGGCTTTCATTCTTTCTCTCTGTTTTCACGGCGAAAGATCATCACATTTCTTCACGCCTTCGGGGACCCCCTGTGAGGACATTTGGGGACACCCCCCCGGCGGTCCGCGGACCATAGATTAAGAACCTATGAACTAGAATAATAAACATAAAAGCTTTCCCACTGAGGTTTCTACCTCTGCAGACCAGATACTGTAGTGAAACAGGGAGGGGTTCATTCCCCGACTGGCCAGCTTCTTGGGGGGGGGTACCAAGACAGGGCAGGGCCCCTTGGCATATGGCCATCTTCCGGCAACCGGTAAAAAGAGTTCTTACAGTGCGGCTTGCCTGCCTTTCCAAGGGGCTTATATAATCACTGCGACGGATAACCAGGATGCTGGGGAGGAAGGGGAGGGTGAGGCCGGAACCGCTAAGAGCTTTAATGCCCTCCAGAAAGCCGGCTGAAGCTCTTATGTGGCTCCAGAGGCCTCCGTCGGAGGGAGGGAGGGGGCCGGGGCAAAACCTCCCCACCCTATCTACTTCTCAAGAGGTCCAAGGATCTGTCCTCCTCGAACACACATATACACATAATAGAAGCAGCAAATTCCCAGCTAACAAGAACTGTGATATCACCGTTAGCGCTCAGAAGTCCTGGATTCAAATCCTGACCCAGCCAAAAAGTTTTCAGACTGCGGGAGCAGCGGCACTCTCTCAGCCTGGTCTGCCCCGCAGGGCTGTTGAGGAGACAGTAGGGGGTGGAGGAGGTGGGATAAGTGCTCCCACCCCCCGTGGTGCTCATGATGAAAGGTGGGATCGAAGAGGAATACCTTCATGACATTTCTATCCCGTGGGATTAACTGCCTTGCTTTGATTTGGCAGGACCGGGAAAGCATGGGGAAAACAGTCCGGGTGAGGAGAGGATAAAGCCGCCAGGAATCCGGCAGATGCCACGTCAACCGGGCCACGTCAGCACCCAAAAGCAAGCCGGGGAAACAAAGCAAGAGGCCACCCTGCCAGCTTATCGCCAAGGGAGCTGCCTGGCCAGCCAGAACCCTGCAAACAAGCCGGAGATATTTGCAAAGAAGAGAAAAATCACCCAACGGAGGAGGGACGAAGCCGCTTTGAAGCCAGTGAATGGGAATTCGACACACACACATACCCCACTGGTCTCCGAGATATAACACCAAAGCTCAGGGTCAGGTGGAGAAACTGATGAGCAGTGGATTCCACTAGAGAAAGAGCTTCTTTCTACAGAGGGCTCCGGCGGAACTCCCTGCCACAGGATTCCGTCAAGGCTGCAACTTTGGGTTGCACCCCAAGGAGGGGTCAAAACAGATTCCGAGGGGGGTTCTTGACAAGACAGGCCCTGACCGGATGACCTTGGCCTCGACTCTCTTTTTCTCCCCCCCCTAGTCTCCTTTCACAGGGCTGTTGTAAGAATAATGGGGGAAAAAACCGACCTTGAACTCAGGAAAGAGTATAAACGTGGGAAAGAGGAGGAAGCCAACTCTTATTGTCTGTACGAGATGGAGGGGAGAATATTACGCCTCACTTTTGCTGACCACGGACGGAGACGAACCCAATCTCCTCCAGCCACGTGTACACACGCATTACGACAGGAGGGGGGAGTCGGGCACCTCAGCCTCACTGCTGTTCCTGCCCCAGATATGTGCAAGCCCCAGACATCCTTTCATCCGCGCAGCCTGCACTTCAGAGACGGGGCAGAGCGTCCCCACCTTTTGAATAATGGATGCGGGCGGAATCCATCTCACGCTCAGCACCGTCTCAGCACCGCTAGATGGGCAGGGGAGACGGCTCTATTTCAAGAAGGCTCCAAAGCCGACAGCTTTCCGTGTGGGCAGCCGGGCCTGGCAAACCCTCCCGCTCCTGCTCTAATTCGGTTTTGCCCTTCATCCTTGGTCTTGGGCCAGCTGAGTTTCGGCGCCGGCGTTGAGAGGGGCCAAATCCAGAACTCCTGCACGCCAACCAAGGACAGGGTCTCCAGCCCCCTCTGTGGACCTCCAGGGGCCGGATCTTGGAAAGAAGACCTCTGCACGAGGGCTGGTACATTCGTTCGCATGCAGGATTCTCACCCAGCATCTATGCACTGATCTTTGCGCTTTGCTGGGGTGTCCCCCCAGATCCAGAGGCTTAAGGTCCCTCCGTTTCAGGAGACAGAGATGAACTAAAATAACCAACTTTGAAAAATAGGCACAAACACACACAGGGATGCTGCTTTCCAAGACCAGAAATACAGCAGGCTTTTTAAAAAAAATTATTTCTACGCATGTATGCATCTGCACAGCAGGACCGGAAAAATGAGCCCAGGAAATTGCTAGGGCCCAGAGGAGATTATGGCTTTGTCCAGCGCCATAAGGAAGGTCACAACCGCTTTTTAAAAACACACACAAACACACACAGAGGTTCTCTCTCCTGGCTTAGCATAACCAGAGAAATAATCCTGAGGGCGGAGAGCTCGGTGGATCGAGAAAAGGCCCACTGAAAGCTCAGGGTGGCTCACCCGGACCCTTTCCACCTCTCAAAAAGCTCAAAAAGAGAGCAATTTTAAGCCTCTTGTATCTCGCAACCAACTGCACCTTACGGAGTTTGAAGCACAGGGCGTCAAATGCAACCTTCCCAATGTGTTGGGACTCCAGAACCCCTCATCCCCTCATGCATCCTCGCCCATCATGACAGACCTGGAGGGTTCCAGTCCCAAAACATCTGGAGGGCCACAGACCGGCTGCCCCTGCCTGAAAGCAAAGATCGGACAAACGCATTGAAGCTCGGTCTTACGGATGGTGGCAAGCCAAAATGAGTGGTAGAACCTGCATGTTTAGGAGCAGTATGCATTTAAAGGCTGGCCGCTGGGACACAAAACAGAGGAGACCTCTAGACAACGCAAGCTGTTGGCTTGATCCGACAGGGTTTTTCTCCTGCTATAAAAGTCCTTATAAAGCCGTGCTTCACGGTGCCAGTGGCTTTGCACTCCAGGGCACAGAATCCCCAACCACTGGGGGCTATGGGAGTTGTAGTCCAAAACAGCTGGCGGGCCCAGAGGTTGAAAGGGCTCTTGCCCTATAAATAATGATGAGCTGGCAGATCGTGATGAGCAGGCAGGCACTCCTTGTCCTTTGCAAGCCACGGAAAGGCTCCCCTTTTAAGCCTCCGCCTGCTTGCCAAGGAGGGCGTCAGCCGCCTTGAATTATTGATGGCCCTCGCCATGCAAGTCATGGCGGCCCCGAAGGGAGAGAAAAACAACACAGAGATCTCGAGGTAACCTTCAGGATTTCCAAGGAAGCTGGCTCTTTGGACAGTGTCAATGAACTTAGAAAACGGAGATGGGAACATTTTTTCCTTTTTTTCAAAACCTGGCATGCCCCAGCCAGTCTGGCTGTCTTGAATGGGGGGGATTCTGGTTTCTGGAGTCCAAAATGTTTCCAACCACGCTACCAATTCAAGGGAAGAACCCTGTGTATTTACATTGGTGTGTGTTCTCGAAACCCTCCGTTCCCTCCCTCCCTTTTACATTTTCCACGTTTATTCCATTTGAACGTGGAGGTTGCATTCAGCCACCCTCTCCTCTGGTCTCCGGCGCTCAGTCAAGAAGGAAGCGTCGCACAAGTTGAAGAGAACGCCAACATTTGAATAGTTAAAATAAAAATCGGGGCAGGGCCAGGCTTGGCCAAAAACGTTGAGCAAGTACTTCATAATGCTGCAATATTTTGTTGCAGGTTTCACGTATCGCCACTTTAAAAGCCACTTTTAAACTGATCAGGCTGAATCTGGCTCTTAACAGCTCGCTGAAAACTATCCCCCCCTTATTGGGCTAGATTTCCCAGAAAGGAACACGGGTCTCAGATACACTGCTTGGGAACATGGAAGTTCTACTTCACCCACTGCTTATGGGCTCTGTTCCGGGAGCAAAGCACCAGGCCTTTGTGTGTCTATTTTTAAGCCTGCCGCTGTGGCGAGAAGCTCTCAGCTGCTTCCAAGGTTATGTTCCTGGCTCCCTTTACAGCATTGTAGCTCTGTCCGAGTCAATATTTGCTTAAGCTCAGGACACTGTTTACACTCCGGCTTGTGTGCGAATCCACCCAGACACACACACACACTTGAGCGCAATACCCTGCCCTCACCGACAAGTCCCATTGTGTCCATAACTCTCTCTGTGTTTCTCTTTTTCCTCATTACGGGCCCCAGAGATAGAGGGAAATGGCTAAGGACAGGCCTCCTGCTTCCCATTCACTGTCCGTTATCCCATTAGCAGCTGTTGGCCATCCAGGAGGGCTCCTCTTAAATAAAAGGGAGAGAGGATGATGAGGAGCAGGGAGGCAACTTTGCAGATGGTACCAAGCCAGGGGCTTTGCAGCCTCTGAAGATGCCTCCCTCCCTCTACTCAAGAGCCATGGCAGCTGAGGATGATGGAGGCTGTAGTCCAGGCTAGGGAAAGATGGTACCAAGCCAGGGGCTTTGGAACGGCAGACAAACCTGCCCTGCAGCCTCTAAAGACGCCTCCCCTCCCTCTACTCAAGAGCCATGGCAGCTGAGGATGATGGAGGCTGTAGTCCAGGCTAGGGTAGGGAGGGAGGGAGGAAGGGAAGGAAGGAAGGAAGGAAGGAAGGAAGGAAGGAAGAAAGAAAGAAAGAAAGAAAGAAAGAAAGAAAGAAAGAAACGAATGGTTTTAAGAGAACGCAAGAAGAAAACTAGGATTGTGCAGATTTGTGTTTCTGGACTACAATGCCCAGAATCCCCCAAGCTGCCCGGGGAACCCTGGGCGCGGTAGTCTAGAACCAGCTGAAGTAAATCTCTCAGGGACACCTGCATCCCTGTGAAATAAACTTTGGGAGAGTCTCTACATTACAGCTGGGTGCTATTTTTGACTCCAACCTCTGGAAGCTCGGGAATTTGGGTCTGGATGGAGTTCTTGGGATTCTCTGCTTTACAAAGTCACCCATCACTTTATCTGCCACAGCTGCGTGTCCCATGGAGTCCTGGGAGCTGTAGTTCCAGGAAGGACTTGAGATGCTCAAAAGCTTCAGTTGGGCTCTCCCTGAACCATAGCAGAGAGAGGGTTGAAATTCACCAAACTACAAACCCCAGGATTGCAGAGTGGAAGCCGCTACAGTGGTTAACACAACCTCCAACGGCCACAACTGTGCAGTGCAGACAGCCACACCGGCCACGAGGAAAACCAGCCGTTATTGGACCACCACTATTTCATATTTAAAAATAAGTTTTCAGGTCTGGATGCAGCCCAGAAAAGAGAAGTAAGCAAGCAAGATTCACATTCAAATCCCCCGTTGCAATAAAACAGTGAAGTAAATCTCTCAATCTTGCAGGATTTAGTGTACATAGGGGTAGAGGAGCGAAGGTCTTGGGGGGGGGATGAAAACATTCAAGAAAAAAGGAGTCCCCTTCTTCCTCCCCACTCCAGGCCTTCTGGTTTTATCATGTGCCTGGAAACATAGTTGGAGGTGGGGGTACAATTACCGTATTTTTCAGCGTATAAGACTATACGTGGGGGTACAATTATCATATTTTTCCATGTATTAAGACTATACTTTTGTCTAAAATCTTTACACTAAAAATTGAGGGTTGTCTTATACGCGGACGTAAGCTGAGGAGAGAACAAAAACAAGTGGAGGGGAAAGCAGGGATCAAAGCGATCCTACAGCGCTTTGATCCCTTTCCCCTTGCACTTGCTAAGCCCCATTTAGATTTCTTAAAATTTTGGATTATAAAAGTGGGGGGGGGTCCTTATACATGGGGATGTCTTATACACGGAAAATACGGTAGTAATAATAACAATAATTAAATATTTACATCACCCTTACACACACACAAACACACTTCAGAAAAGCGTGAGGTTAAATTCTGTCCCCTTCTCAAGGAGTCGCAAGAATATCTGTCTGCTCCTTTCCTGAAAGGACCAGTCTCAACACTGTCTCTCGAAGACTGGGAAACGGTGGCAGTGGTGGGTGGCCTTTGCGATTCCTGGGATTACAGACCCGTCCTAGAAACACAGCCGTCTGGCCTCTCGAAAGCAAGCGCCAGGATGCAGGGATTTATGAGATAACCCTCCGCTCCAGATTAAAACCGGTTTGCCTAGCAGCCCGGGTTTGGGGGGCGGCTCCAAGCGAGGCGTCTGTTTAGCCTGCTTAAAGGATTATTAGGAAAGAACCGGCCGGCCGCTGTGCCAAGAGTAAGGCAATGCCTGTGTGCGTGAAAGAGAGAGAACAGAGAAGCAACAGGAAGGGGTGGGATCTAGAAGAGACCCTCTTCGCTTTCCTTAGCACCAATTTGACAAAGTAAGCGGTTAAAATCAAGGCATTGTTAGATTATTTAATTCCTTTAGTGCAAAATCATGGTTTATGGCTGCATCTGCCCCATAGGAACAAAGGATCTTAAATCTTCCAACTGCTTTGTCAATGTCACCCTCGTATGGTCAATTTCATGTTGGAAAGACAGCAAAAAGTACTCAGTCTTCTTTTTCGCAGGCTGGAATGCCTTTTCTGCATATTATTCTTCACCTGCCCTGCCTGAAATCAATTTTTCCAGGATGCTTGATCTGTCATCCTTCCGTACCCGGATTCCCATCCTTCCTACCA